TGAACCATTGGAGTTTTCCATGAATTGTGTTACGTTCCATAGGAAATTAAATGAGCTTGATCATATTATTCTTCATCAATCTCTGCAGACACTGTATAGGAACAGGGAAAAGTTATCACCGAACATGACCTACATACTGGAAGGATTACTTTTGATGCGTCAATTTGTGCATGTAATGGAAGCACGTCTCGTCTTGCATATATGCATTCATTATATATGCATATAGTATATGAGTCCTAGCAGCTACACAAAGAAGAGAAATGACACACATAGCTAGTAAAGTGTAAACCTAAAAGCCCATTATTTTTGCTTTTTAAAAAGTGAAAGGTGATGGATGGTTTTGTTCATGGCTCGAGGAGGATGTGTCCTAGTTGTTGGTGGGGGAGAGTACCTAGGAAAATTTGCTTACATTTTCCTGTGCATGCATGCGTCTGGCACTGTGTGTGAGGTATATATATATATATATATGCATGCAGCTGGGTACGTAAGGACACTCCGCAAGCTGCCCAACTCTAGCTTCCCGCATTGTATGTACCTCGTGGCGCATTAGGTTAGAGAGAGAGAGAGAGAGAGAGAGAGAGAGAGAGAGTGAGTGGTAGCTAGCATCCATATCCGATCGACCTGTAGTTCATGGCGCATTAGGTTTGGAAGAGTGAGATCGAGGCAGGACGATATGTACGTCGTCCTTCGTCTTGTACGTACATGCGCTCAATGTTGAATTGTTGACAGACGATGCGCGGTACTTTCTTTGACCATGCATTCATCCGTGCATGGAGCGTCTATGTGCTTGTCCCGTTTGCTTATAAATTTAATAACGAACTCTATCTGCTGTGAACTTAAGCTTATTACAAGTGTTAACGACAAGCAATCATGGAAATGCGCTGCATATAGATACTGTTCACAATGCATGTCATGGAGCACTAGCTAATGAGCCGGCAATTATTAAAATTGTTAAACCAAACTATGCATTTATATATGCTATACATCCTTAAGCGGCAAGTACGAGGAACGACAGAAGGGAATTGTTGACGCCCGGACATCCGATGAGATAGGATTCCGTTAGACGGTAATAACCTGGGCGCACTCCCACCAAACGGCCTAACATAAAGGTTCATCAGAAAATGCCATCGCGCGACCCCGCCTTCGGTCGCCAGCTCGCCCGCCCGCACCTGCCGCTATGCCTTATTGTTGCTGCACGCTGCTCGTCCCTCACAACCTCGTCCCGCCTCGCCACGCTGCACCCCCCATCCTCGTCCGCCTCCTCCCGCCTTGCGCTCCCCTTCCCCGTCCCTCCTCTCTCTCTCACATGCAGGGGACTGACTCCTGCCAAGACACTCCATCTCATGCTCCTAGCTCACCACGCGCCCTTCCCCCGGTGCCCAGGCCGTGCCCCCATGACTCTCTAAACATACCTCTAAAACACAAAATATTTGAAATGCAACATACGTATGAAGCAGATGAAACATTTAGAACATACACTTGCAACATGTGTGAAACATATGCAACATCCAGATAAACACACTTGCAACTTGCAACATGAAAACACTTATTGCAACAAAAGACTGAAATAGCTGAAACATTTCGATTGCGACATATGTGTGAAACATGTGCAACATTCAGATAAAAACGCTTGCAACATACGTCTGAAACAGATAGAAACATTTTAAACAAACGTTTGAAACATACCTATGAAACACTTGCAACATATGCAACATCTTGATCTACTGTTACAACATCCATATGAACCACCGCAACATACTTATGAAACATCCAAAACACTTGAAACATACATTTGCAACATAGAAGAGGGGAGGTCGGGCCGGTTGATTCCAGCCTCAGGGTGGGAGCCGGCAGTGAGCGGTGGCGCGCGAGCACCACCAGCACAGGCCGCGCTCGTGCGTACCCTTGTCTCGGTCGGGACCGACCTGAGGCGCACGACGGCATGCACCACCAGCACTAGCCGAGGCAGGCGGCGCACCCGACGACGCGGGAGCGAGCAACGTGGGTGGGCGTGCAGTAGGACCACGGAAGCAAAGAGCGAGAGCGCGTGGGTGGGCCGTTTTATTTCTTTCACACAAGGACATGTACGGTGTTAACAAACAGCTGAACTAGTAGCATCTAAAATGCTACACTAATTAGCGAACTCATCATAGACCAGTTGGTTGGGTTTCTTATGGTGGAACCTGCTCATCCGGGTTCAAGTTCTTGACTTAGCACGGGTGTTCGTATTTTTCTGGATTTATTTTAAGATTTTTGTCGACAGCGAGACGCCTACGGTGACTTCGTGAATCTCGAGATCTGCCGGCTCAGTTCTGTTGGCGTTCGTGTGTTCATAGGGGTGAATGTGCATACGTGTTGTTAACATTTACGTTGTATTGTATAATTCTAAAAAAAACGCTACACTAATTAGGCCAACACTGAAAAGATATTACCTCTATATACTTCGAGCACAATAGGGTTTCTTGTGGTGCAATGTAGCAATCGGGTCCAAGTCCACACTAACACTAAGCCCAAATGCATGTATTTTTCTGTATTTATTTCATACAAAAATTAACGACGCTATTCTTTCTTTCAGTAGTTGTGGAGGACGTACCCATCTACCAATCTTAGGATATGGCGTATAGAGGCGAGTGGACGCATAGTTTTTATGCACTTTTTTTGAAAAAAAAATGGTGAAAACATGTTTGGAAGTTTGGTTTAGGGGCATTAGTTTTCTAAAAGATCGTAGTTTTATTTAAAAAAATATAAAAGAAATCACCAGACCCTTTTTGTACAAAAATATAGTAGACCTCCAGCAATCTATTTGTTAATAGAACTTCATAATCCAACCCAATCTCAGTTCAAAACTCTAAAAATGCACTGCGGCAGGTCCTTGGAGTTCCATAGTCTGTTGGCAGTTAGAAACCGCAATCCCTACTTATACAAAGCAGCATCAGAATTCAGAATGCTTTCTGCAAAAGTTCCACACCCGCATCTGAGCTTTTCACTGAAGGATACAAATGAGAAAATTTAGAACCTTTTTCCTCAACCAGCGTGGCCGTCAAACAGTAACCTAGAAGGTATTAAAAAATCACATTGCCTCAGAGAGCCTGGTGAAAGCAAAGCCCGAAGTAACAGTTAATGCCCAAAGTCACACAAATGCAGTACTGTCCTCTTTCATGGTGTATACAGTTCCTCAAACCCAATGTCCTTTGATGATTGACGTATAGGTTAGCGCCCTGTTCGCTTGGGCTTGTTTGGCTGATAAGCCATGGCTGAAAGTACTGTTGGCTGATTTGATGTGAGAGAAAAATAATGTTCATTGACTGAAAAAGTACGGCTTATAAGCCAAACAAGCCCAAACGAACAAGGTGTAGGTCACCTGAAATGCAATGAGGAGATTAGTAGTGTCACTACCAATTTGCATGGCAAAGGCAAAAACAATTCATACAAATTAGATCATATAGTGGATTTTGGGTACAAAATGCTGTTCTATATCTCAAGTGGACTGAAAATCGGGGGGAAATTACGATACATCAAACATTGTAAACAACACATTAGAAAATATTCCCTAATATTCTTTTTTTACTCCCACTTGTAGGATGAATAGTGAATGCTAGAAGTGCATGCAAAGTGCATACATAAATAATATACACAGTCATTTCCCTAAACTATCAATGCTAGCTTCCAAAAGAGTAAAATCTATTGAACACAGACCTATCTTTAATGCTGCCAAAGAAATTTAATAATACTACAATAACATATACATCTTCAACAAGCATCAGAGATCCTGGTCATCTGGTGTTAGTGCTGCAAACCTTTTTCAATTTAAAAATATTATAAAACAAAAAATGTTCTACAACACACATACACACAAAGAGAATTCCCTGTATTTTAACCAACCCCATCCCAGCACTGAGGCATGATTCATTATCCTTTGCTCCTACTGTCCACATTTATACCCTTCTTCATGTATGTGGTCTATAAAACAGCAAGTCATGTTGAATTGATAATATTGTTTGAGCGACAGAAGAAACATTTTAGCGTAAAAAAAACATCTAGCCTGTCTAACAACCTTGAATAGGATTCACAGAATTGCCATTCGATGAGAGAGGCTTAGGTATAACTTCAATTTGCTTTGTACAAAGCGAAAGCGAAATAGAATAAAACAACAATGCCACCATAGCACCTGAGGCACGCGGCCAACTTCTCACTCCTGCTGCCCAAAAATACGCTCTTCGTCATCTAAACCCCAGTAACGACATGGATAGCCCATGATGAATTGATTATAATGTTTAAAGGGAAAAAAAACTAGGTTTACCCTATATCATGCAGCCAGTCTATCAAGAATGAACCTCTAACTTGCAGAGCTGCCATGACATGACAAAATTCAGGAAATAAGTATGGTTTGTACAAAGCAAAAGAAAAATATAGGTGCAAAATTTGGTCCAGAGGAAACCAACAGCAGCACCATCATGGCACATGGGCACCAAGGCCAACTGAAAATCAAATCACCGCACGTCTAATGATCATGAATCTCTAATTTGTAGAACTTCTATCCAAAGGCATATGACTAGCTTCACTTTGGTTTTATATGAAGCCAAATAAAAGCAAATCTCGCTAACAATTTGGCTCCAAAAAAAACAACAGCATTTCCAGAATTCCAGTTTAGTATTATACAGACAATTTCAAACACTAGCCAGTTTCAAAAACTAAAAATACAAGGAAAGCACAGTACAGAGTCCACCCAAATACAGTAGAAAGAACACACAAACATCTACTGTTAAGAACCAAAGGAAACAACTCAATAGCCAATACATTACCACCCTTTTTAGTCCACTTTACATATCTACTGATCTAGCTAGATGGAATTTCAGAACTAGAACACTGCCATTCATTAGATACTAACGAAGTAATGGTAAAGATGTTCATACCAAAATGTGAAGAAGTGGCAAGAATGAATAATGAGGATGGCAAACCTTAGAAGAGATTCTTTACAGCACTAGTTACCAGAACATGTCTTAGCTCTTCCTCTTTCCCTTTGTCACGTCGCCAAGGAGCTCCCATTGGTGTTTTCCAGCGCAGCTAGAAGCATAAGCAGCAGCAAAACCTGGGACACTCATCTCGTGAGGGTGCACAAGTTTACCCAGAAGATTATCATTGCCCATCAATGCAATAGTACTGAAGCTTAAACTAGATGTCATCAATCCCCTGTCCTTGAGAAATTTCATCAAGTAATAACGCGGCAACAACCGACGCTCCACACTATACAATAGCAACACTGGCCGATACACAATGTCTGGCATCTGCAACCCAACATCACCCATTAGAAAATCCAAGTTTTTATGAACCCTTTCCGGAGCTAAGTTCAGGATATTTGGCGCCTTTCTCACTGCTGATGCTATATCATCCCTCGACCACCCAAGCTTCTCAAACAGCTGCATCTTACTATCCAGCTTCTCACGGTTGAAGATCGCAAACCTCGTGAACGCGAAGGGGAACGCCCACGAGCCCTGCTGGATTCCCAACTCGGCAACGCGTGCCAGAGTTTCCTGGAGGTGCTTAGTGCTCCTGACAAGTATCCGGGACAAGAAAGTGTTGGGAATATCGGAAATCTCCATCCCGCATCGCTGAAGGAGGGCCAGGTTGGGCTTGGCAACCTTCTCGAGGCTGACGCTGAGGAGGCTGCCGTTCATCTTGAAGAACCGCAAGAGCTCGTCGAAGGAGCCGAAGACCCCAAGCCAGAATTCAAAATTGCGGCGGAGCGAGCGGCTGCGGAACCGGGTCTGGGCGGCGAGTACTACCTGGCCGACCTGGTGGCTCGACAGGCCGAGGCTGCGGTGCTCGGCGACGCGGGGGGACAGGGTCTTCCCCACGTCGGCGACAACGGTGGCGAGGTCGGTGCCGGAGATGTCGAGGCCGGCCAGGAAGGCGAGGACGGCGTCGGGCTTCGAGGGAGACCTGAGGCCGGGGATACTTTTGGATGCCTTGAGGGCCTGCACTCCGGAGAGGCCGCATCTGGCGACGAGGTAGTCGGCGACCGTGAAGGGGTTGCTCGCGGCGGCGGCGGAACCGGAGAGGAGGCGATGGAGGGGGGCGATGCAGGAGGTGGAGCCGCGGGACGAGGAGAGTAGATGTGGAAGAATGCAATTTCGGAGGCGGAGCATAGCGTCGAGAGGGATTGCGGTGAGTGAGATTGCGCCTTCAGCCTTGTGCCCTTGGCAACTCCACAACCGAAGGCCGAAACATCCAATTTGGGCCGTAGCACCTCATCCAGATTTCAGCACTTTTCATCACACTCCAGCCCAACTCTCATTTCCAACCTAACTCTCATTTTCGTTGCTCAAAAAAAAAACCCCTCTCATTTCAGCCTCCTATATTCCATTTAGCTGTATTTCTACCCTACTAATGCTCCATCTTTTCTTTCCTACGTCCACACAAGAAAACGACCCCCCGCTGAGATGTCCCCTCTAAGTCCACCCCAAAAAGTGTACCCAGAAAAACAACACATTTCAAACGAACCGTCCAGATGCACTCTAAGCCTTCTCTCTCCTTACTCATTACACAATCGAGGCCCTGGATTGAGTGTATCAAATCTCCTCATTCTCCCCCACACCCACGTCATGCAGCCCCCACTGAGTATTACGAACGCCACGCCGCCAAAAATCACGGAACTTCCCGGACACGCACGGAGGCGGAGGAGGCGCTGCTACTCCTGTCGCGGTCGGCGGAGGAGGCGAGTAGGCGGTGATCGCGCGCGCGGCCGCCGAGGTTGTCGCGAGCGAGGATCAGGGTGCACCGGCACCGTCGCATACGTCTCGCTCCTGCCGCGATCGTCGTCTCCCGCGGCCGCTACAATCGCGCGCGCGAGGAGGACACGTGGTCGGCGAGGTGGTCGCGAGCGAGGAGATCAGGTACGCCTGTATACTTCGATCGTCAAACATGTTGCCATCGAGATGGATCCATGCCGTCGTATATATGTTCCATGCCTAGCTCCTGTCTTTGTTCTGAGATCGCATCTGAACACATGCATACACCTAACTGCGTATGTACGTATAGATGCGTATAGGGTACATGAATTTTTTTATCTTTACTTTTGATCATAGTATATATGAAACTACAAAATGCAGATTTTTTTCTGAAGTACTATCGGTCACTTGCCGAGGCGGTTCAGATGTTCAGAGATGTAGCAAGTTCGGTAGGAAAATTTTTCATCTTCAAATTCAGAGGTTCAGATTAGCATTTAGAGGTTCAGATTAGCATTTAGGCGGTTCAGATGTTAGTATTCAAATAACCACTGGCGGCAAGATATATCATGGTTCTAATGGACATGTCTATTATATTATTATTACTAGCCCTTGACGGCAAAATGGGGACGCCAGGAGAAGGCCGCACTGCGCTCAGCGATGTAACGAACATATCTACTCCAGGTATTTTCATACACTCATATTTTTTTATATAAGTCATCATCTATAAAAGTATATAAATAAACAAGGCCATGTCAACAGCTTGCAGCGAAGAACAACGCAGGAGAGAGGAAAGGAATAGAAAACAACGTGAGTACCACGCTAGGATTAGGGCTCAAGAAACAAGCGAGCAAAGGGAGGAGAGAAATATTCTTAGGATATTAGCGGACAATCCTTATGCAAACTGTAAGCTCCTAACATCGTAAATGCATTATCTTTTACGGTTTGCTTTCCAGTGATTGTGGATATCTCTTTAAATTCGGCAATGAAGATGATATCTATTTCTGATTAATCCATGTAAATGCATTATCTTTTACAGTTTGCTTTCCTTTTGTAAGTGGTGGGTTAGGAAAGGTGACCACTTGGTGCCAGGTTCCAAAGGGCCACGCCACATGCAACTGTATTTTTATGATACAGATGATACCTTGGCACATAGGACACGGAGATCTCCTGACCTGGATATCAACCTCATAAGAAATATTCTTAGGATATTAGCGGACAATCCTTATCTTCAAACATTCAAGAGGGTTGGGGCCATACCAAATCTTGATGACTATGTAATTGAGCTAAACACCAATGTCATGCCTGACCAAAGGAGGTACCTTCTCTACCACACTACATGAGTTTCTGTTGTAGTTACTACCTAAGCTTATATAATTTTGTAGATTATATGTTCACCCGTGTTTCGCTATGTTTACAAAGGTACAATGCACCGACGACATCATAGGTTGCTGCTATCTGGACTGAAGGAAATGACCCAGAGAGATGCTTTGATAGAAGTGTGCTTGTGTATGCAACAGGAGATCAGGCACTGCATATTAAACCATATCAGGGTTGTTATGATCCATTGTCATATCCTTTATATAATCCTGGAGGACAGGCTGGTTGGAACAAATTTATGCCCTATACTGACGCACCTATCATCCCTACTACTACTCCACGTGGCACAATGGCGGACACACCAACTTCTATGCAAACATTAGAACATGACCCCACAGGTTTAGACAAATCCTTATATTAATTGAAATTTATATCTAACTAACTCATGTGCTACAGAGTTTCCCTAATAATTTTTCTTGCTACATAGATGATGCTGAAAATGTCGCTGACATACAACAAGGTGAAAACTTGGGTAGCCTGATGGAGGAAAATCAATCTAGAAAATATGTCACTACTCGAGAATACTATTGTTTCTTAATGCAAGTTCGGCGGGGTCTTTTTAACATCTTGTTGTTTGGAGGACAACTATTCCAACAGTGGGCTGTTGACATGTATATAAAGATTGAGTCTATGAGGCTTGATTGGTATGCTAACCCAGCAAACCAGAAACTCATACGGGCGGAACTATATCAGGTGAGGCAAATGTTTTCTTTGCAAAATATGTCGTACACTACAACTAAAAAATGACTTTTTTTATTATTATAATTATAAAAGTCGATCATTGATAATTGTGTTCATGTAGGGTCTGGTTGATGTTGTTTCAAATGGAGAAACCGGGCTTCTGAAGTTGGCAAGAGAATTGTGTTGCCACGTTCTTTCCCGGGCGGTGATCGTGACATGATGCGACGGTACCTTAACGCAATGGCCATTGTGCAGCGTTTTAGCAAACCAGATTATTTCATCACTATGACATGCAATCCGCAATGGTAGGAGATCATAGAAAATCTAGAGCCTCGCCAGGAACCACAAGATAGACCTGACTTGGTGGCAAGAGTATATAGGGCCAAGTTACGATCATTGATGGATTTGTTGACCAAGCAAAAGTACTTTGGAGATGTTGCAGCCTATGTGCATGTCACGGAGTTCCAAAAAGGGGTTTGCCGCATGAGCATATCCTGTTAATTATGAAATCAGCAAGTAAATTGACAAATCCTGATGCATATGACAAGGTTATTTGTGCAGAGATACCAGACAAGGACAAGTACCCAGTGTTGCATGGACTTGTGACTAAGCATATGCTGCATGGTCCATGTGGAGCCTTGAATAGAAAGTGTCCTTGTATGATTGATGGAGCCTGTCGGTTTTAGTATCCACGGCAATTTTGTGATGCAACACAACAGGGCAAAGATTCGTATCCTTTGTATAGGAGGAGAGATGATGGACGTCGAGTGAAAATTAGAGGGGCTGAGTTAGACAATAGGTGGGTGGTGCCATACAATCTAGGACTTCTTATGAGGTATAATTGCCACATGAACGTTGAAGCATGCTCAAGCATCAAAGCTTGTAAGTACATGTTCAAATATGTATACAAAGGCCATGACCGTGCTTCATTCTCAGTTGAACCTGTTGGAGTTATCAATGAAATCCATCGGTACTGTGATGCACGATACATATCACCCCCCGAAGCTGTATACAGGATTTTTGGTTTTCATCTTTTTGGTGTATATCCCTCAGTTTTGCAGCTCCAGTTACATCTACCAAACATGTAGTCTGTCATTATTGAAGAGTATGAAAACCTAGAAGATGTTATCCATAGGCCATCTGCCACTAGGACTACACTCACGGAATACTTCAACATGAATCGTGCTGATAGTTTCGCAAGGACATTATTATATAGGGAGTTTCCAGAACACTACCGGTGGATCAATGGTCGCAAGGTGTGGCAGAGAAGAAAGAAACAGCTAGGACAGATTGGTAGGGTTGTGTATGTGCACCCAGCAGAAGGGGGGAGATATTTCTTAAGAGTGCTCCTAAACCATGTAAGAGGTGCAACCTCATTTGAGGATTTAAGAACAGTGTCTGGCATCACATACTCTACATTCAGAGAAACATGTGAAAAGAGAGGGCTCATTGAGACAGATAAGTCCCTTGATGACGCCTTGAGTGATGCTGAAACTTTTCAAATGCCAGCCGCACTACGCAGATTATTTGCAACTATACTTGTATTTTGTGAGGCCACCAACGTGCGCGAGCTATGGGAAAAATACAAAGAATCAATGTCCGAGGATTATAAAAGAGACAATTCTAACACAGCTATGGTCGAGCAAATGGCACTGAGAGACATTAGAGAGATGATTCAGTCGATGGGGAAGGAGTTTAGAAGTTATGACCTTCCTGAGCTCAATGATGCCGGTAAGTTTCATACAAACTAATTCCATCCCTTTCTTTATTTCTTCTTCTTCTTCTTTTGATAAATAATTGGACATTTTTTAGCATGATGACATTTTCCTCGTTCCATCATAACTGACTTGTATTACTTTCTATCGAATCAATAGTTGAATTTTCCAATGACACCATGAGAGAGGTCAGAGAGGAGCTTTCCATACAAGTGGACCAAGAAGATCTAGATTTATATAAGTCACTTAACATCGACCAGCGAGCAGGATTTGATAAAATTATACATCATGTATTCAATAACAAGAGCCGAGTGTTCTTCATTGATGGTCCAGGAGGAACAGGAAAAACATTCCTATACAAGGCGATTCTTGCCAGAGTGCGCTCGGAGGGATTAATAGGAATTGCTACTGCAACATCTGGCATAGCAGCATCAATATTGCCTGGAGGACGCACAGCACACTCAAGATTCAAAGTCCCCATTACACTTAAAGAGAATAGCACGTGCACCTTTTCAAAGCAAGACGGCACCGCTAAGTTACTCTGTATGGCGTCCTTGATTATATGGGATGAAGCTGCTATGATAAGGCGTCAAGCAGTGGAGTGTCTTGATAGGTCTCTCCAAGATATTATGGGCTGCACCTTGC